TCAAAAAAAAAAAAAAAAAAAAATCACACCCTGGGGGAGGGGGATGGCACACCTATACACATGCCTGGCTTGTTTCTCAAGCGGCAGGATCCAGGACTCGGACCATGCAGTTGGTTATGTGGGATCAAGCATCTTAACCACCATGCCACCTTCTGGCCCTATTTTTTTTGGTCATTGTTCCCTAAAGGAGGAGGGCACATTAGGTATAGTACTGTTTTGTTTTGTTTTTTAGAGATTTTTGCTATAGGGCGTGTGCACTCCCCAGAGAGACAGAGACACACAGAAAGCAAGAAATCACCCCTTGGCGAGATGGCCACACCACAATCCCTTCTCCATTCTCCTCTTGGAATCTTGGCCATGCACACACACATGTCCAGTGTGAGTTTTAAGTCAACGGGTCTGGGACTCGAACCATGGTCAACTATGTGGAAGTTGAGCGACATACCCACTATGCCACCTGCTGTTCCCAGATATATTACTGTTTTACATAGCTTTGGTTTTGAATCATATCTTACAGCATCTTGTCTTGTTTTTCTTGAAGGACTTTATCTTGGAACATTACAGTGAAGATAGCTATCTGTATGAAGATGAAATCGCAGATCTTATGGATCTGAGACAAGTAAGTTTTGGTGTGGAGCAGAAGGGGAGTTTGGCTGGTGCTCTCCAAATCTTCAGAACACCTCTTAACCGCACATTTGCAGTCTTGCAGCTTTAAGAATGGGAGGCAATGCTAGGGAGGGGATTGGAGTCATCCATGCCCTTGTCACATAAGAACACCATAGAACAGGAGAGACTTAGCCACTGAACTATAATAATCTTTTTTAAAAAACTAATTTATTTTATTATTTAATTTGCTATAGAGCGCATGTGCTCAGCAGAGAGAGAGGAGACAGAGAAAAAGAGGAAATGAGAAAGCAAGCCACCAGGTTTGGGACTCAAACCATGGTCGGCCATGCGGGAGTCCAGCACCTCAACCACCATGACATCTGCTGGCCCCAATCATCTTCCAATATACTGTATAATTCACTGATTTGTCATGTTTATTTTTATTTTCTGTCTCTTCTTGTGATAATAGAAGCTCCACAGGGGAAAGATCTTTGTGTATTTCATGGATGTAATGCAAGCATTATTAAAATTGTCTGGCATATAGCAAATGCACACCAGTGTTTGTTGAATGACTGAACTCACTCACAGAGCAGTTAGGTTGGGACTAGAGTCTGAGATTCCTAATTCCCCTCCTGGCCCATTCTACCCCTCATGACAACAGCAGCAGGACTCATAGGTCACAGACTTGTGACAGGTCACACACTGACAGGTGGGATGGGCCAGCTGCCCTGTCTTCATCTGCTCACCTCCTGCCCTTCTCCTTTCAGGCCTGCCGGACTCCCAGTCGGGATGAGGCCGGGGTGGAACTACTGATGAGCTACTTCATCCAGCTGGGTTTTGTCGAGAGCCGATTCTTCCCGCCCACCCGACACACGGGGCTCCTGTTTACCTGGTAGGTGCCTGAGGTCTCCGCAGCCGCTCTGCTGTGCCAGCCCTAGGTTTGGACTCTCAGCGCCACAGATGCCCCTTCTGCCCGGCAGCTCCTCTTTCTTGACTCTTGCATCTATTTGGGAGCACTTGGAGAGGGGTCAATAAATCGGTATTTATTTATGAAGGGGATCCGAAGGGAGAGAGGGCTCCAACAGAACATCACTTCTTGCTTCTCAGAGAAGGTGAGCCAAGGAGGAGAGGCATTTTTTTAGTACACACTGTATTCACTGGGAAATGCTGAGGCTCTGAGGCAATGCTAACAAGAAGCAGGATTCTTCTTCTTTTTTTTAAAAGAATTATTTTTATTATTTAACTTTATTTATTTTAATTTCACCAGAGAGGGATAGAGTGAGAGAGAGAGGGAAAGTGAGAAAGCAAGCCATCAGGTCTGGGACTGGAACCGCAATTGGTCAGGTGGGAATCCAGCACCTTCGACCACCATGCCATCTGCTGGCCCCTTTTTCTTTTCTTTTTTGTTTTAAAGAGAGAATTTCCCTGTAGCGTGTGTGTGTTTGCCAGAGAGACAAAGAGACAGAAGTGAGAAATCACCCCTTTGTGGGAGCTGGCCACGCTGCAATCCCTTCTCCTCCATTCTCCTCAGGATTTTGGCCACACACACACACACACACACCTGGCATGAGTTTCAAGTAACCGGGTCCAGGACTTGAACCGCGGTTGACTTCATGAGAGTCCAGCGACATAACCAAGAAGCAAGATTCTTGTTCCAGATGGGATGGGTGACCTAGGTTTTGCTGCACTGTGAAAAATAGGGCAGGAGACACACACCATGTTTTGCAAATCAAAGCAGAACATTTCATTCGTCTTCAGAATGAGTATTTCCAAAGACGAGTGCAGTTTCAGCACTTGGGGGATGTCACGTCTCTTCTCCAGGGTACTTAGTATGGATGAAAGGAGGGCAGATCCTAACAGCTAAGGGGCATGTATGGAACTGAATTTTTTTTTAAGTTTATTTATGTATTTCTTCCTTGAATGAGAGAGACAGACAGAGAGCACTGTAACAGGGTTGTGACACCACAGTACCTGTCCTGGACTCAGCCCGCCTGGATCATGGGCACATCCGCACACCTGCATACCCAGGGAGGTCTCCAGGTGCAAACCGAGAACCTTCCCAGGTGGGTCAGTCTTGCGGAGAGTCACCTCTTCTCACTGCATTACTGTCTGACCCCAGAATTAAATTTTACCACCATAGATGGATGGCTACTAATGCCTTCCTTTTGTAAGAGAAAGGCAGGTGACTTTTCATAAAGACATGGGGCCAGCAGGTGGCATGGTGGTTGGGGCTCTGGACTCCCACACGGCCAATCACAGTTCAAGTCCTAGACCTGGTGGCTTGCTTTCTCACTTTCCCTCTCTCTGTCTGTCTCTCTCTGGTGACTACAGCAAGTTAAAAAATAATAATAAATAAAATAAAATATTCATTAAAAAAAAGACACATGGCCTGCTTGTAGGAAGGAGATGTTAATGGTGGTTTCTCCTTGGATTTGAATTAGGAGAATGCTCCCTGTCTACCTTCTGGTTGACACATGAACCTTTTTTTTTTTTTTTTTAGATTTTTGCCACAGGGTGTGTAAGCTCGCTGGAGAGAGATAGAGAAAGTGAGAAATCACCTCCTGGGGGATGACCACACCACAGTCCGTTCTTTGTCCTCCTCTTGGGATTTTAGGCATGCATGCACATGTGCCTGGCATGATTTTTAAGCCACTGGATCTGGGACTTGAACCAGATCCAGTTGATCACATGGGAGTCCAGAGCCTTAATCACCACACCACCTGCTGGCTGGCCCCCGTGAATTCCATTGTATTGTTTTTATGAAAGAATGTGTGCATACACAATAGCAAAGTCAGGCACCCTCGACAGGGTCTCAGAGTGGCATTAACTAGCCAAGTGACCAATATTTCCAGAATACATTTTTTTAATGAATTAATTTGCTTATTATTTATTTATTTATTTTGAATTTGACCAGAGAGGGGCAGAGTGTGTGTGTGAGTGAGAGAGAGAGAATGAGAAAGCAAGCCATCAGGTCTGGGATTCGAACAGTAGTCGGCCATGTGGGAGTCTAGTGCCCCCAAGCACCATAGAACATGCCGGCCCCTCTTTTTTTTTTTTTTTTTCTTATGCCGGCCCCTCTTTTTTTTTTTTTCTTTAAAGAGTTATTTGTTTAATTGTATTTATTATTATTATTTTTAAATTTGACCATAGAGTGACAGAGACAGAGAGATAGGGAGAGTGAGAAAGCCAGCTGCCAGGTCCGGGACTTGAACCATGGTCAGCCATGTGGTAGTTCAATGTCCTAATCTCCACACCACCTGCCAGTCCCACAGATATATTTTCTTTTTCTTTAATCATGGTAAAGCGTATACTTGCATGTAAGAGTAAGAGAGGGAGAGAGAGAGGTGAGCAGCCTCCATAGGGTCGGATTGCGCCGGGACCCCCTTTTCCATCCTCCAGCCTGTTGGATCTTGGGTGATTTGCACACAGGTCCAGTGTGTTGAAACACTTTTTTTTTTAAACAGGTATGACTCCCTCACTGGGGTTCCAGTCAGCCAACAGAACTTGCTGCTGGAGAAGGCCAGCATTCTGTTTAACATCGGAGCCCTCTACACCCAGATTGGGACCCGGTGCAATCGGCAGACGCAGGCTGGGCTGGAGAGCGCCATGGATGCCTTCCAGAGAGCCGCAGGTGTGTCTCTGTGAGGGTTGCTTGAACAGAGCCTTGGCCTCGCCAGGTGGCACCAGCGTACCCAAGGTGAAGACTCTGGGCCCCCTGTGGACCCACGCTCTACCTCCATGCCTGATAGGGTGGAACCAGTTTCCAGCACTGGTGTTAACATCCTGTTGGGAGACTTGCCTCGTGGCTCAAGCCATGTCTCCCCTGTCCGTGTTGTCTGGAAGGCCATGGTTAGTGAGTCCTGTGGATAATGATTGATCTTTTCCGAATGAGCGACCCTGAGGATGGTGGTGAATTACCGAATGACAGAATAATGCTTCCTGAATAGTGACCATGTAGGCTTTTTTTCTTTCATTAGTTGTGCCTGATCCGTGCCTGCTCCTCTCCGTGCCTTTATATTATGCATCTGGTGCCACATTGCCAGCTGAGTTTCCTGTTCCCAGCCCTCTGTCAAACGGTGCATACAAAGGATGCCTCGGAGTTCTGTCACCTTCTGGAACTTCCCAATGCTTCCATCTTTAACTTCTTTTTCCCAGTCAGTCACCCCTAAAATTTATCCTAGTATGAAGCAGATGTAGCAAGAACGCAGCTTTGCACCAGCCTGTGGAGGACCCTGTGCAGCTGGCGAGCCTGGCACCGCTCAAACATGTCCCAGGGTCTGTGCTGCTGTCCTTTAGCAGGACCTGAGCCCAGAAAGACTCGTCTTGCGAGGTGGGGTGGTGCGGCATAATGCAGACCCCTTCCTGGCTCCTCATCCTTCTGTTTTGGGGGGTAATCACCGCCTTACCCCTGCATAGAACCTTTTTGAATATCTCACTTTGCTTTGCCAGCCTGCGTAGAACCATAGCTTTGACACTTAGACTCATTGAGGAATTTCCTGTGCTAATAGGAGTGGTCCCAGGTCAGTCCTGTAATCTGGTGGTGAAGGGAGCTGGATCCCCCATGGCCGACCATCGTTTGAATCCCGGCCCCGGCGACTTGAAAAACGTGTGTGTGTGTGTGTGTGTGTGTGTGATACATACTCTAAATGCTGACAGGATGCAGCAAAGGAGTAGAAGGGATTGTGGCGTGACCCAGCCCATTGAGAGTTGCTTTCTCCCTCTCTGTCTCTCTCTGGCATTCACCCTTTGGAAATCAAAAAAAAAAAAAAAAAAAAAAGGGGTCCCTTGGGATGAAATGGGGTGTGCAAAGATTTCATGT